CAGCTCAACGGCATTTAAGTTACTGTAACACATAATGCAAACAATATGTTTTTTTTGTGAATGTTCTTTTCCACTTTTTTCAACAGTCTGAAAGCATTTACATTTAAGTGGTTATGATTGATTAAAAATAATCCTAACTTAGCATTGCAATTTTAGAGTCTCAGAGCAGCAGTAAATTGAATTCAGTCTTTGAAAGGCAGGTGTGCATTTGATAGCATTTCGATCAATTGCTCCATTAGTTAGAATCCACTGCTTCTTGCTAAAGATGAAGCATTATGAAGGAAACCACAGTGGGGAAGAACAGAAGATGAGAGAAGGAGAGAAAACAAGATAAACAAAGGAGGAATCAAGCCCACTCAAGAGGACACATCTAAATTGCAGGAATGGCAGCCAGTGAGTCATTAAAATATAAAAAGGCGTAATCGCTGATTTAGAAAAAAGAGCCCAAAGAAACATAATCTACCACAGACAGGGTCATTGAGGCATTTATCTGAAAGACTGTTTTATTTCCTTCTCCAACAAGACTTATACTGCCTTGCAAAATAATTAACATCCAAAAAATGTTTCACATGTTTTTAATTCATCTATAAACTTTAATGTATGCATCTTAACCTAATTGTAACAGTGCAATCAGAGGCCTGTTCAACCCATCGCCTGTAAAAGCAACTTTGATAATGGCAAACTGTCTAGACAAATCATTCCACCTGCACTGACAGTCCATAGTATCTCTGGTGTTGATACAGAAATACACAGCCCAGGAGAAACCTTTAACAATTACTCATGAAGTTTTCCAACAGGAACACTAGGCTAACTTTTAACCTTTAAAAATGCGTTTGATTAACAATTTATAAGGTGCTACATAAAAAAAAGGTTTTACTTACTTAACCAATTAAATAGGGCCAATATAGAAAAAAGCCCTAAGAGGTCCCTGTTTGACGTTTGTTAAAAATCAATTAGGGGATACAGCAACAACCTGGAAAGTGCTTTGCTTGATTTAGAATAGCCATAGCCCTTTAAAAGCCATTGTGTCTGCAAGTTATCACCTAAATTGTTTTAATAAACATAAAATGGCTAAACAAAGCTGTGGGACAACATGCTACTTTGGGAAAACAATTCTTCACTGTGTACCAAACATAGAGTTTTTCAATGTAAGATTTTGCATTGTGTTTATGTGACAAAGTGAAGATCTGCTGAAGTGTATTCTGTTCTACATACTGCCTTTGACCACTGCCTCCAAGCCCCTGCTATACTTTTTCCTAACTTTTCGCTCCTGTCCATTAGTAAACTTGCCAAGTATCCCTTTAAGCTGGCTGTCTCTCTTTGGTTTAATTTCGATATTTAGTTGAATCTGCACTTCCTTTGTTGACTGCACCCAACAACTGATTCTCATTAACATAAATTAACCTAGATTATTGTAATTATTTCATGCAAATATGCTGTGTTTGGTTTATATGCAATACTCACTAATTTATCTTATTTTATAATGTTTAGATTTAATTTGTGCTGTACCGTACAGTACTTTTTAAAACTTGTCCATTAATACGTGAGATTTACTTATTTAAAAGAAAAACGAAAAAAAAGAAAAATAAAGAATAATTTCTTGGATTCTGTTTACTAGTAGTTAAAGTCTTAAAAAAAAAGAAGAAAAAGAAATAAGTTCGAACAGCTACCAAACTCTTTAAAGTAAACTTTGTTCTCAAACATAAAAATCCATGCTGAACTGTGATATCATGTGATATATGCTTAGTATGTTAAAGTACTACTAGACCACCAGCAACAGCCACTTCTTCTTCTTTGTCTACTGAAACAAATGTGACTTCTTTAATCAAAACACCCATAGAACAAAAATTTGGCCCCAAAATTACAGAGTATCATGTAGCCCACAGCTTATTCAAGGTAATGTAGATCATTGGGTGTGCTTGTAGGTTTTGGTTTTTAATTTTTCATTACCCACTGGCAATACAAAACTAGACACACGTGTATTCTTCCACAAATCCTGCCTATGCTTCTTATAAAATATTTTATGCAAAATGTTTAGATTTCCTTGACTGTGCTTGCAGTGTTTACTAATTATTGAGTACAAACGTGTCACATTGTTCAGAGGGTTTCTTTTGTGTGTATTTCTTATAGGGCCTTTAACTTGAAAAGTTACAATAACATTCCAACATTCCAGCATTCCAGTTACAATAACATTCGTTCATCAAAATCATGTCCAAAGTGGTATTTTGCTTGATTCAAGCAAGTTTAAATAATCCTCATGAATTCTGCTTTCTGAGTAACAGCCCCTTCCTGTCCTGGCAAAATGGAATGGCAATCATCATTCTACATGACACAGTGATTACCCACCTCCTCCAGGAAGCACCTACCCTAATTATGCCACACCTGCCCAGTAAACAACGCTTCTTCTTTCCAAGATCACTACTTGTAATTTGAGGCAGAGCACAATCAATTCTACTCCAAATTAAGACAAAATGGCTCTTAGAGCACATACTCTGCAACATATACCTTTAGTTGACTTTAGGAGGCTTAAAGAACATTATATAGATCCTGTTAAGCAACTAGGGGTGCTAGATCGCTAACTTCCACATTTAGGACACCTGAGAGGAACTGGACAACATTGCACTGTCACATAATTAAAAAGTTTCCTCTTAGTGTTTTGTAATCTGGTAGCAGGCCATATTTAGCCAGCAGATTTAGTTACTTGTAAAGATAAAAGCAAATTCAACTCTCTAGATTAAAACAAAATATGTCTGGTCAAGTAAGTATCATATCTGTTTTTTTGTCCAATAACAGCTTTTAGCTTAGTTAACTCTTGTGTTTAAAACTATAGTTGGCACTCATGTTCGGAAACACTTTTTGTTATACTGGATGAAATGTTTCTTCCATCCTAATAGTAATCAATATATTACGTATTCAAAAAAGGAACAAAAAAAAAGTCACATCTCAATAAGAACTGCAGGACTGTAACAACTAATTCCTGCCATTCGGTCCAGACTCAGAGACAAACCAACAGAAGGAAGCTGTGATGCAGCAGGACCAACCCCCACGTCATTCAGCTTTAAGGGCAAGAGGCAGTTTATTTATATAATGCCAATTCACAATACATTTCATCTCAAGGCACTTTACAATTCACCAGATCATACAGTCAAAGTTTTCTATCTAAGGAAAACCAGTTGTTTGCATCGACTCATTGACTCGAATGCAATCCCTCACACTAAGCTTGCTTGTAGTGACAGTGGAGAGGAAAAACTCCCTTTTAACAAGAAGAAACCTCCAGCAGAACCAGCCATCTGCCGAGGGAGACTGGGGTTCAAGGAGAGACAAATTCCATGTGAAATTTGCCTGGAAGCTAGCAGACCATAGCTTTGGCTAGGTGACCAAAAGCCACTAACTGAAGTGTATCACCGTGCCGACCCGCTAAGCTTGGGTGAGAAGACGGAGCCTCCGCCTGTGCTGTTGAATGCAGAATTCCCCCTAAAGGGAACCAGTGTTGCAGCTTCTTTACGGTCAAATCAACTCCGTCTCCCAAACCGGGTTGGGAGACGGAGTTGTGTTGTGCCGACATCCGACGCTGCCTTCACTCCTCCTCAGAAACGGACATACAAATCATCTCAAAGTAAAACCTTTCCATTATTCCGTCTGATGCTTTGAATAAGGTGCTGAGCTTGGGCGAGCTAGTCAAGTAAGGTTTTACAAAGAGTTTATTTTAACTTTGGCACTCTTTATGCTGATGTTTCATCTGAAAAGAGTTTATAAAGAGCTCTGATTTCATGGTGTAGATGAATGTGAATGAGTTTATGTGTTTTCTTTTATCTAATTTTCTTGGTTTCCCATTCTGTCCTGAGGTTAGGGTATTAGAGTAACTGAGGATTGTAGACCCCATAAAACCATGGGTAATCACATTCCAGGGGCGGTAACTTTCCTGAGTTTTATGGTCTATTGTTCGGAGATCAGTAACCCCTCCTCTCCCGTAGAATAGGAGCAGCCATTTTGTGACTTCATAAATTAAGATACGCCCCATTGTAGTCTAACCCTTTCCCTTTAGTCAAGTGATAAGGTCCGCTATTTGGTAATCACCACCCAGTAGATTCCAGCCTGTTACTCCCTGACTCCAGACCGCATGGTAGGGGCACACCATCTAGATTCTGCATTGTTGACTCTGCACCAAAGCCCCCTGGATAACTGGATTTTAACAGCCAGTCCACAAGCCAGACAGAGTGTGAGAGGCCCAAAATCCTGGTGAGTAACAGGTTATAGTTATATTTATTCAACCAAGAACATTAAATTGGTTTTACAGTCGATTTTGAATGATTTATCCATTAACCACAACGGCAGTTCTATTTAATCATATATGCATTCATAATCTACAGGTAAAATATCACAACAACATGTATCACATTTTACTGTTGCTCTGGAAGTATCCAGCACACCCCTTGACAAAAATATTGTTTAAGCAGGAGTAGAAGAGGGAGGAGGCAAAGAATAAGCTAAAAGGTAAAAATGGCAGAGAAAGTGCAAACAGAAATCCACATCCAGAATTGCTTGTAATGGCTTATCCCACTGAGGCTCTTCTGGTCCTGCTGAGTTCTGCTTTTAGATGGTTGCTCAAGTTTGAGGGGGATGGGGGGTGGATTTGAACAGAGTTCAGAGTATAGTTCAGGAGCTCCATCATGCTTGATTACTTCTTTTATTTATTAATATATACATATATATGTACATACATATCTATGCATGGATATGTTTCTTTAATACTGATGTTTTTCCCCCCAAATGTGTAATTTAAGTACACCCTTTAATGGCACTATGTCAATGTTTTAGCCTTTACAAAGTAAATTTTCATCTCACTATACCTTAAAGCTACGGTAGTTTTTGTACTTTGGAAAAACAATTGTCAGCATGAGGAAAAGTCAGTTAATGTCAACCATAATACATAGATATAAATGACTTTATTTAGTTCAACAGATTACGATAAAAAAAGAAATATCTGGAGAACACTGTACCTGTCTGGGTGTTCTTTCTGATTTACTTCTGCACCACTCCCAATCCGTCAGCTCAATTTTCCTGCACTCCTCATGTGAGAGCCTCCTCTCAGGCCCATCGAAAACTGATGATGAATCGTTGAGAGTGTGATCCTTTTCCCGCAGATGAGAAGACAGAGAGGGAACACAGTGGAATTCCTCATCCTTGTGGTTCTCATGGGGGAGTACGGGATGATCGGCCACTGCCCCAACTACACTAGCCGTGGCTTCTAAAAATAGTCTGGCATGAGAGGAGCTGTCCACTGGGAGTGGGGTGCTGAAATCAAAACTGGGATTCAGTCTTGAGAGTCCACCAGGTTCCAGTGCACAAAGGTGAGTATTTGGGAAGTCACAATTAAAAAGGCTGTGATAAGATGGTTTCTCTACAGGAGGGCTGCTTAGAGACTTGGTGGCATGGGACAGCTTATACACTCCATAGCCTTGTTGCAATGAAAGGCTGAACTGTAATTTTCTTTTCATGCCTATGAGGAAGACAAATAGAGATTATAAACATGGTTTTGGACCCAAAAGAAAAAACCAAAGATTTTTTTTTTTTAGCTGACTTTGTTTTTTCTATATACACTGCTAATTAAAATAAAGGGATAGCATATACAACACAACCGTACAGCCCTCCATGTGCTCGCCAGAGGTAGCATGACAGCCATTGGGTAATGAGATGAGATCCTCAGACCCCTTGTAAGACAATATGCTGGTGCAGTAGGCCCTGGGTTCCTCCTAAAGCTGGGCGTGCACTGATATGTTTTTCCAGTTGTGCGAGAATCTTTTGATTGGGCAGACTTTAAGCCTGATCGTGCGTAATGAGTCGTGTAGTGTACAGGGGGTTACGAGGGGCAATCAGCCTCTCACAACCACCTCCTGATCAGGAATCCTTATGGTCGGGAGAAAATCAAACATGTTTGATTTTCTCTCGACCATCGTGGGCAAATCGCTCAGTGCGCATGCACAAACAAGGATTCTTCTTTAAACACAGCAGCATGGCGGGGATGCAATGAGTGAACTGCAGTTCTGTCTGTAAAATTAACAGACCGTAGTAGCCACGTTTCCTCAGCCATGTCTACCTCGTCGCCTTTTCTTTTTAGGGCTTTCAGCACAAAATTGCACAAATTGCCAAGGCAGAACATTTTATGTCTAGTGAGCTTCATATTCCCCTTCCATTTGTTTGGCTTCCGGATAGACGAGTCAGAGTAGCTTCATCTCACTGCGGAGCAGAGTCCAACATGCAGTGTTGGGAAAGTTCTCTTTCT